CAGGGCAGCGCGGCTCGGCAGGGCGGTTACGCGCTTACCAGGGGTAGGTGGGTAGGGTGGCCGCCACTGGAGGGGCAGGGCCGTGGTGCTCCGGTAGGGTCGGGGCCGGAACTGGGCGGCAGGGCAGGGCCGCGGCTCGGCTGCACGGAAGGGCCGGGGCAGGAGCGACGGCAGCGGCGGCAGGGACAGCATCTGCTGCAGGGCTCCCGGCGGCTGCTGCAGATGGAGGCCGCGACAGGCGAGAGGGGCAGGGCTGGGCCGCAACGGCGGGTCGACGTCCAAGGCAGGGCGGGCCGCGACGGGCGACGGGGCCGCGACAGGCGACGGGGCGGGGGGGGCCAGGGCGAGGCCGCAACGGGGCCGCGAAGAAGGGGCGGCGCCGCACCGAAGGCAGGGCGGGGGCCGCGACGAAGGGGCGGGGCCGCGTCGAAATCACGGCGGGTCGCAGTAGGGCAGCAACGGGCTGCGACGGGCGACGGGGCGGTGACGGGGCGGGGCCGCGACTGGCAACGGGGCGGGGCCGCGAAGGGGCCGCGAAGGGGGGGGGGGGGGCGCGAAGGGGCCGCGAAGGGGCCGCTAAGGGGCCGCGAAGGGGCCGCTAAGGGGCCGCGTAGGGGCCGCGAAGGGGCCGCAAGAGCAGGGCAGGCCGCTAAGGGGCCGCGAAAGGGTAGGGCAGGGCAGAGCGCGAAGCGCGCTTCGGGCAGGTTAGGAAAAAAAAAAAGCCCTTAGGAAGAAACGGTCCCACTAGGGAACCCGCTCTATACCATGTGAAGAAAACAGGAATGGATGGACTAGAAAAGTGTGTGATACAAATATGAAACCTGTACCCCTTAGTGTCTACCCCACTACAGCCTACATAGGCTAGGTCATATATGTCTGACAGTTTGGTAAGTGAGGTCACGGATTCAGTCACTAACAACAGGTGAAAAATCATGCGAATGGTCACACATGTAACTCCCTCTAAAATGTCTTGAAACTCTACAAAATTCCCGCTCGCGCCCAACCAATCAGCTGATTTCTAAAAATACTAAAACCCAATCGGAATCGGATGCAGTTTGGGAACGGATCAACCCTTAACACCTTGCGAGTTGTGTTTAGGGTTGGCTCATCCGAAAATGCATCCATGTTCGTTTTGGGTATTATACTTTTTGGGCGGGAGTTTCATCTGTGACCATTCGCGTTATTTTTTCCTAGTTGATTGTGACCGATTCTGTGAAACGTTTTATCAAACACGCGAAGACACCCTTTGCAGTGAACGTACCCGTTTTTTTTTTTTACCAAACAAATTATCGAGACCCTTGTTGATTACGAGTGGTATATTTTCCCTGAATGTAAATCTCAACGGCCAACATTACCAGTTGTACATTTCCACGAGGGCAACCATCGGTTTCCTCGAAGTTGCGTTTTGGGGCAAAAAATGAAGCAGTAACTGGAAATTGTTGCTTTGAAACCAAACCGTCTGTTCTGGCCATCACCTCCCATTGTTGGAAGATTTGCCCATTGTTCAATGTAGCAACAAAAGTATTTATCCACCTTTGGTTGGTTCGAGGTTCGGAATGGGTTTTTTTATGTTGTTTGAACAGTTCAGTTTACGTTCGGCATTTCAGTCAGTCGCACAACGGTCGCACACGATTTTCGCGGTGCCGAACTAAACGTAGTCAGTCTTGGTTCCCCCAACGGCCAAACTGACCAAATTTTGGGGGTTGGGAGTGCTATGGAACGGTGCCTATATGCCCATATAGAGTTTTGTATGGGGACCCGTTTTCACAGTTTGGGGAAATTCCTCACAGTTTGGAGCAGTTGTCTATGGGGAAAGTTTTCATCTTTGTTAGCTGGTTACCCAAAGAAATTCGTTTTTGGTTGCATAAATTGAGCTGATCTGATATGAGAATGACGCGCCCCTGAAACCAGGGTGGACATTCAACGCGGTTCGGTTGAGATGTTGGGAAGGGGGTTTGGAGAAAAACAGTGATTGGCTCATGAGGGGCACACTTGGCTCCTTGCACCTGCTATGATGGGGGACGGGGTGTATAAGGGGGTGTCTGAAGTGAAACGTCGACGGACGCTACAGTTTGTTGGGGGATGTCGGCGAATATCCATATTCGGATCGAGAATTCCGACCGTGAAGATTCATCGACATTCCCTACAGTTTCGTCGGGGGATGTTGATGTTCACTTCAGACACCCCCTAAGACCCAGGTTGAGCGATCCAATGTCGTCCTACCGTTTTTGCGCTGTGAAAATGACTTGAAACATGTGAAAAATCTGGTGAGCATCTAATGCCGAATTTATGACAGCACAGTTCTCAAACTGACGTGGGGAGGCAGACTTGCACACATAGGCGGTGCCTCAGATCAGATACGATCTCGTGGTTTTCTTTGTTCACAATCCAATCTCAATCAGATGCTCCAAAGTTCTGGGACAGCTGGCGGGCACTGTGCTGCATTTATCACGAGAGTCGATGACTGACTTGAGGTTTTGGGGTCCATACACTGTTTGTGGCTCACGACCTTCAAGACTCACTAGTGACAATCGTCCCAAAGGACCAGGACAAGTGGCAAGCCAACAGGTTGATACAGTAATGGGGTAAGGGCGGGTCCGAAAAAATCGTCATTGCGTCTTAGGACCCTACCAGGCCTATCTAATGTTAGAAAATACTAAGACCTTTTCAACCGCATTCTGATACACTCTTTCAGCACGCCATGACGGTTCCCTGAGGGAGGATTAAAACAAAAAATATTTCATGAGATGTAACACAAAAAATACGATACTTCATCAAAAACTCGCAATATGGCATCCTGATGGCAGTTCATGCCCGCAAGACCAGATTTTGTTTTCTGTAACTGAACGACATGTTGCGGATCGATTTAGACCGACCCGATTTGTCCCGCGGTTTGACCACCACTAAATTTCCTTCTCATTCCGTCGCATCTGGGAGAAGCATCTGCGTAATGCCGCGGACATTTTTTGGCACAACGACACTCCTGCCAACGAAACTTGTCCCGAGGTTTGGACAATTCAAGGGCAAGGAGGTGAGGCTACTGGCTAGTGGTTCCCCCACTTTGTTTTGACGTAAACTAGGCCGCCTCAGTGCGTCGTACAGGGTCGCTAAGTTCGTCGGACGGCCTCCCAAGGCGGATTGAAAATCGGTGCAACACTCGGCTCGATGCGAACGGAGAGAGTCGAACTCGAAGCTCTAATCAAATTAGAGCCGCGTCTGGTTTCTCAGGTTGTTTTGTTTATTTTTCTACCTTTTCCACCTCATTCCGCCATCTCAGGGGAATGGCGTAGGCAACCGCAATTGTGCAGTGACCCTCACCGACCCTCAGTTTTCAACGTTCACTTGCACCGACGTTGGGATCTCATGAAACTAATAAATACAGTCGAAGCCTGTTTCTGTTCGCCTGTGTTTCTGGAAAGCATATGTCTGAAACGTGCACAAGCCTGTCGTCTGCCTTCGCCCTCGCTCCCACATTCGAACCGGTGACTGTGCATTGACGAAATTTATGTAACTTGGGATAACTACTCCGATGGAAAGGCGAGAGGCAATCGTTGTTGTGTCTCCGACTATACATGTCCTTTTCCGCACGTTTGGACTTTCCGTCTGACACGCCTGATGGAAATCGCGGTAAGAGTGTGACTGTAATATGAAAAAATCAAATACGAATCTTCTTTTCTCGCTCAAGTTGAGCAGTGCCTCAAACTCATCAGGTCTCCCTCCGTTTCCTCTTCGTTGAGGGTCCGTCCGGGGTTCGCAAGCGTTGAGTGGGGTTAGAACCGAAGCGCCCAGAGCGACGAGCCTTCGCTCAACAGTTGTCAGGCAGATTGCCCCGCCGCAATGACCTATCTCTTTGCAGCCACCAAGTTATCGACTTGTGATGAAATGAACGGCGCACACTTTTCAAACAATGATCACAAAGCCAGCCGTCTTTCAAGGCAGGGTGAGGAGCTTGCTTTCCTCGATTGGCTCTGCGGCGCGGCGCACGCAACCTGTGTGGATGATTCATTGTGGGCCCGCAAGAGCCGCCGCACCGCAACCGGGGTCTGAGTTGACTCAACTACCCTGCCTTGGCGATGCGTCAAACTCAGCACAAGAGCAGCTGTTCATTACATATTCCACAAAGCCATAGAGGCACTCGCTTGATGATTTTCGCCAGGATTTGGGACACACACCCTCGACCCGACTCGTCCTCTCAGAGTCTGAAGCGAAATATCAAGCGCACTTACCCGGATGTACACGCACAATGCAGCAGTTAGTTCCGCAGGTTCTCTCAGCACCACAAGATGCGACATCCCTGTCACCGACACGTAGTAGTAGTAGGTGGGCTAGTACTAGTACTACGAGCGTCAAACCGCTACTGCTACTAGTAGTAGTATATCACCGTATTTGGAATCCAGCAAGTTCATCTCAGCTGCGCAGTGTTCAATACTTAGAATCAAGTACTGCTGAGGCTGCCGTTCGAACCGTTCAACGGCAAATCTTTGTCAACCTCCTCTTTCCGCCTCCGCGCTACTACTGAGTTCTCCCTGCCGACAAGGTTACTACACATGATGGCTACATTCCAAGGCTCTTTGTCTTATGCAACGAGCTCCGATGGTGCTACTGGTACGCGCCGAGTCGCGGTGGAAGCTGCAGAACGACCCGCCGCAAACCTCGGCCCGCGGCAATATCAGCAACGCGCTAAGGGCCTCACGCGAGAGGATTATTTATCACTGGCCGCAGTGCGGCGACGCGGGAGTCATGCCGCTGCCACCGCGTCGAAACCTGACTCGGAGGCGGGAACTACTAGTACGAGTACTACCTTCAGCCGCTCAGCCTCAAATGGCGCCGCAAACTCCGCGGCTGGCTCCGCCGCCGCCGCCGCCGTTCCTCGCCGACTACAACTGCGCCGCCTTTCCCTCGAGGAGTTTCATCCACCGATGTCGCTGCCCCTCTCCGCGTCGACGCCCGCCGCGTTTTCCGCCGCCGACGATGGCGCCGCCGCGGACGAAGACACGCTGATGATCAGCAGCATCGGCAGCGCTATTCCAATTGCTACTAAGAGCCATGGCTGCTTGCTAGACGAGCTACCCGACGATGTTCTGGCCAATGTCTTCGCCGCGCTTGGCTCTGCGCGACACGTGGCAGCGGCCGGCGCAGTCTGCCGTCGATGGCGCCGCCTCGTGCCGTTCGTCCCCTCGCTCTCCTTCTCCCGCCTCTCGCTCCCTGCTGCGAAAATCGAAGAGGTGGTATCGCGTATGGTGATGCGCTCCCATGGCCTGTCGTCCCTCCAAGTGGAGTCCGTAAATTGCGGCGCGAGTCACAGCGGCGTTGGCGGCGCCGCCAGCGCGCATCCCCGCGAGTTCATCGTCGAGGCGTGGGCCCGCCACGCTGGCAGCTCCCTCCGCCACGTCACCATCACACAGCACAAGACCGTCACTGCCGCCGGATATTCCGCCGCAACTTCCGCTGGGGGCTCCGACGTTCCCAGCTGCACGGTCTACGCGGGCGGTCCGGACCTGAGCTCCCATCTGCAGCATCTCGCGTCACATTGCCCAGACCTCTCCTCGATTCGCCTCGGCTCTTTCAACCTCCCGCCCAATTTCCTCCTCGGAAACTCCATCTTTCCGCATCTGCGCTCGCTTTCCCTCGAATGGACCAACCTGGCGGGTTCCACGCTCCAATCACTGCTCGACGCGTGTCCTAATCTCCGCCGCCTCTCCATCTTCATGGCGGCCGGTCTCATCGCCACTGGTGCGCGGGCCGCAGCCGTGGCGGCGGGACAGCGCGCGGGGCTGTGCTTGCGCCTTCCCGCGCGATTGGAGTCCATCAAACTCGCTTATCTGCGCGTCTCCGCCGTCACGCTTATCTGCAGCGAGGCTGTCTGTACTGGAGACAAGAGCGCAGTAAGCGGAGGCGACGGCCTCGGCGAGGTGTCGATTCAAGATATGTTCCTCACCGCGCTTTCCCTCCCCAACGCGCGCGCGCTCGCGTCTCTCTCCGTCGCCACGGCCTCTGCGCTGCGCCTCTCCGCGCCCGCTTCCGCCGCCCTCGCGTCGCTCGAGGTCCGCGCGGGAACCGTCAACTGGCCGTCGCTGGAGTCGCTCGTCGCGGCCGCGGGAGCGGGGCTCAAGCACCTCGCGCTGGATCTCTTCAGCGTCGAATGCGGCGGCTCTGGCGCTCCGCGCAGCGGCGTGGCGACCTATCCCCCGCGGGAGGCAGTGGCGGGCGACGGGATTGGAGGAGATGCGGCCACCAAAGCCACCGCGGGAAGCGTCAATCTGCTGAATTTGTATTGGCTGATTGGTCATTGCCCTAATCTCTCCTCGCTCTCCTTCGGCCCTCTACCATGGGAGTGCCTTATCCGCGGCGGCTGTATCGCCACTCCTGGTTGGGCCCCTGGCTCAGGCTCGGGTGTGGGAGGTTCGGCAGATGATTGGGTGACGCAGGGTAGGGTGATGAACCCAGTTGATGTGGATGCTTGGCCGACTTACTTGGAGAAACTTTCTGTGAAGCTTCGAAGAAGGAGCGGGGCTACACTGCTTTGGATCGGTGCGTTTATGCGGCAGTGCGCTGGCACTCTGAGGACTGTGGAGGTGGCTTGTATGGAGGATGAGGATGAGGAAGATGATGAGGATGACGAGGAGGAGGAAGAGGAAGAGGAGTTCGAGGACATGGATGAGGTGTGGAGTGAGTATGGAAGTGAGAATGAGGATGAAGAGGAGCAACAAGAAGAAATGGAGCATGAGGATAAGGGGTCTGAGGAAGAGTGGCATGGGGAGGAAAGAGAAGTGGATTCGGGGGAGGACGAGGTGGAGGAGGTGGAGAGGAAAGAGGAAAGAGAGTACATCATCCCTTGATCCTTCCATGAGCCAGGATGAGTATGACACCCATGGTGCCCACAATACCCATGACAATGCAGACTGCCACAGGAACCAGCAGCAGGCAAACCTGCCAGTCCTGCAAGGAGCATTGTGCAGCATGTGTGGCCATGGCAGTGGCAGTAGCGTTGGCGATGGGAGCAGTATATCTTACGCAAGTACTGTACGACCTGTGGCAGTGGCACATTCACCAGTAACAGTGGCACATTTGTGGCAGTATTTATCCACCTGTGGCAGTACCGTATTCCCCCGGATATAAGACCCTAGGGGCTCTTATTGATTTCACAAAAAAAGGGGCGGGATCTTATTATAGACTAAAAATTCGATAAGACCCGGGTCTTATTATAAGTGCTATGTTTTTTTTAAATATAATGAAATGCAAGGGTGTTCTAATGCATATTTGTGCTTTTTTAATGAGGAAACACCCCGCGAATGTCTTGAGCCGAGAAACCGGGCACAATCCATGAAGCATCTGAATGCGTCATGCTCATTGGCCCATATTCAATGGTAACCAGCATTACAGATTGGGGGCCGACCAACGTGTACCACGTCCAATGCTTTGTGTCAGACCGCCTCGGACGTCTCATCCCTTGCATGGCACGTGAGGCTCTCAGCACAGAGTCGCGCTATCTCTATCACGTCTCGTACACAAGCGAATTTGACACCGCCAGGGAACGGACCCACCTCTGTGCAATGGGGAGCGCAGCTCGGCAGAGTCTAGCATAGCGGGACTAGCACGGCATATTAAATTCATAGCGCGAAGAATGCCGGGCATAGCATTAGGCTGAAACAGGGTGTCAGCATGGTGTCAACGCCCGATTCAGGTACGTCAGAATCCCGTCGCCCTCGTGCAACAACCTGCTGTCAACCTGCTCGTGTTAGGATTACGCCGCGTCCTGTGCTGCCCACGCCAATACCGTCATCGAGTGAGACTTCTTAGAGCAGCCGTACCCCACGGGCCCCCCTTCCCACAGTCTGTGTCCCCGTATTTCCGCAGTCGTCACGTCCGCAAGGCAAGAAGAAGAAGGTACAGGATGCAGCGCCCCCCGCCTCGCCTCGCCACCGTATGACGAAGAAGGCGCGGCATGCGTACACGGCGAGGGAGAAGCTGTACTGGCTGGATATGCTAGACACGCAGCCCGATCTCGGCATCCGGGGGTTGGCGCGGCTAGTTAATGTCAGAACATTATATAGCTTATGCTGTTGTGTAGGCTATAGTGGGGTATCCCATAGGGGGTACAACCCAATTAGGGTTTCCTATATGTACTCACTTCATTCATAGTTCATTCATTCGCGTTCTCCTTCCCACATGGAATCAGAGCAGGTCCCCTCCTAGGGACTGTTTCTAGGGCCCACCGAAGCGCGCCCCGAGGCGCGCTTTCCTTTTTTTTTAGCGACCCTCCGTGTCGCCCCTAGCGGCCCGTTGCGCCGCCCTTACCTACGCGAGCCCGCCGCCCTTACGTCGCGGCCCAGCCGCCCTCACGTCGCGGCCCCGCCGCCCTCACCTACGCGGCCCCGCCGCCCTTAAGTAGCGGCCCCGCCGCCCTCACCTACGCGGCCCCGCCGCCCATAAGTCGCGGCCCCGCCGCCCTCACGTCGCGGCCCCGCCGCCCTCACGTCGCGGCCCCACCGCCCTTGCCTACGCGGCCCCGCCGCCCTCACCTACGCGGCCCCGCCGCCCTCACGTCGCGGCCCCGCCGCCCTCACGTCGCGGCCTCGCCGCCCTTGCCTACGCGGCCCTGCCGCCCTCACCTTCGCGGCCCCGCCGCCCTCACGTCGCGGCCCCGCCGCCCTCACTTTGCGGCCCCGCCGCCCTCACCTACGCGGCCCCGCCGCCCCACTTCGCGGCCCCGCCGCCTACGGTACCGGCCCCGCCGCCTACGACCGCCGAGCCGCCCTGCCGCCGAGCCGCCCAGCAGCCGAGCCGCCCGGGAGCCGAGCCGCCCTGCCGCCGAGCCGCCCTGCCGCCGAGCCGCCCGGGAGCCGAGCCGCCGAGCCGCCCTGCCGCCGAGCCGCCCTGCCGCCCGGGAGCCGAGCCGCCCAGCAGCCGAGCCGCCGAGCCGCCCAGCCGCCGGGCCGCCCTACTGCCGAGCCGCCCGACCTGCCCTGCCTGGTGAGCACAGCACCACTGTTACTGCGTGCCCTTCCCCTACTGCTTGCACTACTACACTGTCGTCGTCATGGCTACCCCTAGTGTCCTCGCTTTTGACGCTGAGGGTCGAGCCATTGACTTTGAGGTCTGGGTCGACGACCTGCAGCTGTTCTTACAGTGCGATAGGGCGGACGGTCTTTCCCTCTTTGACCTCACCTCTGGCGCCTCTCCTGCCCCTGCTGCTGATGCTGACCCCACTGTTCGCTCTCAGTGGGCCACCCGCGATGCTGCTGCACGTCTTGCTGTGCGTCGCCACCTGCCTACCACTGAGCGCGCGCACTTTAGTCAGTACAAGAGTGCTCAGACCTTGTACGACGCTGTAGTTGCGCGCTACTCTTCCCCTGCCACTGCTGCCCTGAGCCGCCTCATGCTACCGTACCTCTTTCCTGACCTTGCTGCCTTTCCCACTGTCGCTGACCTCATTACGCACCTCCGCACTAGTGACACTCGCTACCGCGCCGCCCTTCCTGCTGAGTTCTGCGCCAAGAACCCCCCCCCCATGTACATCACTCTCTATTACATAGTCACACGCCTCCCTGACTCCCTTCGCGTAGTCAGGGACCACTTCCTCTCAGTCTGTCCCACCACTCTCACTGTCGACCTCCTCGAGAAGTCCCTCCTGGCGGCGGAGAAGAGCATCGTCGCTGTAGGAGCCTCTCGTGGTGACCCTCGCACCCCCATCTTTGAGGGGTGTTCTCCTTCCCCCCTGCTGCCCTCTGTTGCCTCTGCTGCTGCTGCCGACCTGCTTGGTCTTGAGTCGGTCTGCGCGGCGTCTGCCCCTAGCGGGAGACGCCGCCCTGGCAGGGGCAAGGGGGGCAAGGGCGCGGGTGGAACTGGCGGGGGCGGTGGAGGTGGCGGTGGAGGCGGCGGAGGGAGTGGGGGTGGCGGTGGGAGTGGTGGCGGGGGCGGTGGTGGCGGTGGCAGCAGCGGAGGAGGAGGCGGTGGTGGCGGCAGCGGTGGGAGCGGAGGCAGCGGTGGTGGTGGAGGTGGAGGCGGCGGTGGCGGAGGGGGTGGAGCTGGTCGGGGTGGTGCCCCGCAGCGTAGCGGCTCTGGTGGTGGCCAGCGTCAGCAGTAGCAGCAGCAGCAGCAGCGTTCGCGGGACATCCCCCCGCCCCAGCAGCTCCGTGAGTGGTACACGCAGCGTCAGCGGGGTGGGGGTTTTGGTCCGTGCACCTACGTCCTTCGTTCCGGCGACCGCGCGGGTGAGCAGTGTGGGGGTGCCCACCCCACCCAGCGCTGCTTTGGCCGCCTGACGGACGCTTGGCGTCAGCAGTTCCCCGAGGCTAGTGAGATTCCCCGTTGGGGAGAGCTGTCTAGGGCTGGCGTAGCTATCTTTGATCTTGACTTTGATGCTATCCTTGCTGCCATGTATGCTGTGACTATTAGTGAGGAGGGTGACTGTTACCGGTGTTTCCCGCCCGACCCGGGCATTGGTACTGCTGCGCTAGGTACTTCTGCGGCTGCTGCTCTAGGTGCCAGTGCGTCTGCACTCTCAGGTACTGGTGAGGCTGCGCTCTCAGGTACTGCGTCGGCTTCGGCCTCCCTCACCTTCACGCTTGACTCAGGGGCTTCTCGCTCCTTCTTTCGAGACCGCACCACACTCACGCCGCTTGGCCGGCCGGTTGCAGTCTCCCTGGCTGACCCCTCTGGGGGTCCTGTCCTCTCTCACTTCTCCACTGTCCTCCCGTGTCCGGCTGCCCCCTCGGGCACCTTGTCTGGTCTGTACCTCCCCTCGTTCTCGACGAACTTGGTGAGTGGTGCTGACCTGCAGGATGCGGGGGTTCACCAGTTTACTCCTGCGAGTCAGCGGGTGACCCACTGCTCGGACGCCCGCACAGGCCGACACCTGGCCACGTTTTCGCGTCGGCCGGGGTCGAGTCTCTACACCCTGACCACTGAGTCTCCTCCTGTCCCTGCGTCTGGCCAGGTAGCTGCGTCGGGTCAGGTGTTTGCTGCTGCGTCCAGGTCTGGTCCTGAGTCTGCCCCCTGCTCGTGTCGCCGCCTGTCTCAGGAGACTCTCCTGTGGCACCACCGTCTTGGCCACCCCTCCTTGCCTCGTCTTCGGGGCATGGCTTCCCGTGTCCTTGTCTCTGGTCTTCCCCGGTCTCTCCCTCCCCTTCCTTCGGGACCCGGACCTTCCTGTGTCCCCTGTGTCGAGGGGCGGCTCCGGGCTGCCCCTCACTCCTCCCAGTTTCCCCCGACAGAGGCTCCTCTGCAGACGCTTCACATGGACGTGTGGGGCCCGGCCCGCGTCCGTGGGCAGGGTCACGAGCGCTACTTCCTGCTGGTGGTTGACGACTACTCGCGTTACACCACAGTCTTCCCCTTGCGCAGCAAGGGTGATGTCACTGAGGTGTTGATCGACTGGATCCGCGCAGCTCGTCTCCAGCTCAGGAGGAGCTTCGGCTCGGACTTTCCTGTTCTGCGTCTGCACTCTGACCGAGGTGGAGAGTTCTCCTCTGGCCTTCTGCGAGCCTACTGTCGTGCACGAGGCATCCGCCAGACCTTTACGCTTCCGGACTCTCCACAGCAAAATGGGATTGCTGAGCGCCGCATTGGCATGGTCATGGACGTCGCTCGTACGTCCATGATGCATGCGGCTGCCCCCCATTTTCTGTGGCCGTTTGCGGTTCGGTACGCGGCGCATCAGATCAACCTTCACCCCAGGGTCTCCCGGCCGGAGACCTCCCCAGCTCTGCTGTGGACGGGGAAGGTCGGCGATGCGTCTGCGTTCCGTGTCTGGGGATCTCGGGCGTTTGTCCGCGACTTGTCTGCGGACAAGCTGTCCCCTCGTGCTGCTCCCTGTGTCTTCCTCGGCTTCCCCCCTGACGCCCCAGGGTGGCAGTTCTACCACCCCTCCTCTCGTCGTGTTCTGTCCTCCCAGGACGTCACGTTCGACGAGTCAGTCCCCTTCTACCGCCTCTTCCCCTACCGCACTCCTTCCCTCCCTCCGCCACCGCACTTCCTTGTGCCAGGTCCCCCCCCGGTAGACCCCCTTCCCCCTCAGGGTCCTGCCCCTTCAGGTGTGTCCCAGGTAGACGCAGTCGAGCCGGTCGAGGTTGCTGGTGACTCTGGTCCTGCTGCGGGTGCTGAGCCTGGGGGTGCTGACTCTGGGGGTACTACGCGCGTGGGTGCTGAGCCTGGGGGTGCTGAGCCTGGGGGTGCTGAGTCTGGGGGTGCTGAGCCTGGGGGTACTGCGACTGGGGGTGCTGAGCCTGGGGGTGCGGAGTCTGGGGGTGCTGAGCCTGGGGGTGCTGCAACTGGGGGTGCTGAGCCAGGGGGTGCTGCGTCTGGAGCTGCTGAGCCTGGAGCTGCGGAGCCTGCGGCCACTGGACCTCCCCTTGTGGCGTCTGGCGGTGCGGGACCTGGCGGTTCTCCGGGTGCTTCGCCTCGGCGGGAGCCCCTCTCTCCACAGGAGCTGCGCGAGTGGTTTGCTCGCCGCTGGAGACGTACTGCTGGAGCTGGAGCTCCTTCGGCTGCTGAGGGTACTTGTGCCGCTGGTCCCGGAGCTGCTGGGCCCTCGGGTCCGCCTGGAGCTGGAGCTGCTGCGGGTGTTGGTGCTGAGACTGCTGCTGTCCTTCCTGGCGGTGGTCCTGCTGCGGGTGCTGCTGGTGCTGCTGGAGGTCCTGCCGCTGGAGGTGCTGTTGGCGCTGGTGCTGCTGCTGAGGGTGCTGTCCCTGCTGTGTCTGGAGTCGCCGCGCGGCCTCGGCCGTACTTCGTTCCACTCCTACAGCAGGTTCTTGGTCTTTCTCCTCCTGCAGCGTGTCCACCGCCTGTTCAGTCACAGTCCCAGTTAGAGCCCGCCTCCCCACTTCCTGCTCCCTCTCCTTACACTGGTCCCACTGGAGGTCTTGCTGAGCGTCATGAGCCTGCGTCTCGTCCTGCGTCGCCTGTTCGTGCTGCTCGCGCTAGTGGTCGCGGTTTGCGTCAGCGTCCTCCTCCTGTCCCTGGCACGCACCGGATGTCTTTGCGTCCGTCCACTGCTCCTCTGCGTGCCCCTTTGCCTTCTCCTCCTGAGTCCTCCCTTCCTGCACTTACCGACCCAGAGTCCGACTCTCTTCGTGCTGCTAGTCCTACTGTCACACGTCTCCTTGCTACTGTCGTCACTGACCCCTCTTTTGAGTCCACTGCTGCGTCTGCGCTTGTTGCTGAGCTCGTCGAATTTGCTGCTCGCTGTCGTCTAGACTACGCTGCCGGTCTTGTTGCTGAGTCTGCGTCTGTCTGTCCTCCGTCCGTCGGGGGTGAGTGTGCTCTTGGCACGGACGTCCTTGAGGACAGGCAGGAGGAGTTCCAGTGTCTGGCTGCTGCTTCACCTCATCTCGCGTCCGTACTACTTGCCCCTGAGGGAGACCCGGATGCACTAGACATCCCGACTCCGCGCTCTTACGCGGAGGCCGTAGAGGGTCCCTACTCCTCTCAGTGGCAGGCAGCTATGGATGCAGAGATGGCGTCCTGGAAGTCCACAGGCACCTACGTTGACGCGGTGCCCCCTCCTGGGGCGAACATCGTCAGTGGCATGTAGATCTTCAGGGTGAAGCGGCCGCCGGGCTCTCCACCTGTCTTCAAGGCGCGGTACGTCGCTCGTGGCTTCAGTCAGCGGCAGGGAGTTGACTACTTTCAGACCTTCTCTCCCACCCCGAAGATGACCACTCTTCGGGTGCTGCTGCACATAGCCGCTCAGCGCGACTACGAGCTCCACTCTCTTGACTTCAGCACTGCTTTCTTGCAGGGTAGCCTGCACGAGGAGATCTGGCTGCGCCGTCCACCTGGCTTCACTGGGACTTTCCCTCCTGGCACCCAGTGGAGCCTCCGACGGCCAGTCTACAGTCTCCGCCAGGCACCGCGTGAGTGGCACGACACACTGAGGACTACGCTTGCGGCTCTTAGGTTTGCTCCCTCTACTGCTGACCCGTCGTTGTTTCTGCGCACCGACACTTCTTTGCCGCCGTTCTACATCCTCGTGTACGTCGACGACTTGGTCTTTGCCACAGCTGACACTGCTGGACTAGCCTACGTGAAGTCCGAGCTGCAGAAGAGACACACGTGCACAGACCTGGGTGAACTGCGCAGCTACCTTGGCTTGCAGATCACTCGGGACAGAGCACGCCGCACCATTACCTTGACTCAGTCACACATGGTGCAGCAGGTCCTTCAGCGCTTCGGCTTCACGTACTCCTCGCCTCAGGCCACTCCTCTGTCTACTCGCCACTCGCTCTCAGCTCTGCCTTCGGATGAGTCCGTAGAGTCGAGTGGCCCGTACCCAGAGCTTGTTGGCTGCCTCATGTACCTGATGACCTGCACACGACCTGACCTTGCATACCCTCTTAGCATTCTTGCACGCTATGTTGCTCCTGGGAGACACCGACCAGAGCACATGGCTGCAGCGAAGAGGGTGTTGCGCTACTTGTGCAGTACGTCGGGCATGGGGCTAGTGCTTGGAGGGCGGAGTCCAGTGGTCCTCACTGGGCACGCGGACGCTTCTTGGGCTGACGACCAGGCTACGCAGCGGTCGTCGCAGGGTTACACCTTCAGTCTTGGTTCCGGCTCTGTCTCGTGGCGGGCTACTCGCTCGTCCTCTGTTCTCGGCTCCAGTTGTGAGGCTGAGATCTACGCCGGGGCCATGGCTGCACAGGAGCTTCGCTGGCTCACCTACCTGCTGACTGACCTTGGAGAGCAGCCTCGTTCTCCTCCAGTGCTGTACGTAGACAACAAGGCCATGCTGGCCTTGTGTCGAGAGCAGCGCTTGGAGCACAGAACGAAGCACATTGCTCTCCGTTACTTTCTTGCTCGTGAGCTGCAGCAGCGTGGTCAGTTGCGACTTGCGTACGTGGCCTCTGAGGCCAACACTGCTGATGTGTTCACCAAGGCACTTGCGCCTTGTGACCATCAGCGCTTCTGCACTCAGTTGGGTCTTGTACCTGTCTTGCCTCACTTGCTCTCCTCTTGACCTTGCTTGTACTGTCACATATATATACCTGCTCTTGCTTGTCTAGCTCTATATATATATGTGTCCTCCTGCATGTGAACTGGCCTTGTGGCCTTGTCGTTGTGCTCGGACTGTGTGGTGACTTTGTGATCCACCCTGAGCTTGCTGTGCTTTGCGTGACTGGTCTTGTGACCCCTTGTTCTCCCCCACTTTGCCTATGGGGGTGTGTCAGAACATTATATAGCTTATGCTGTTGTGTAGGCTATAGTGGGGTATCCCATAGGGGGTACAACCCAATTAGGGTTTCCTATATGTACTCACTTCATTCATAGTTCATTCATTCGCGTTCTCCTTCCCACAGTTAACGTGCAACCGAAGCAGATTCGCGAATGGCGGAAATTGAAGGAGCGACTCCTTGTTTCAGCGGCATGTCGTCGTCGCCTCGTTGGCGCAGGCCGTAAGGCCAAGTGGCCTTTCATGGAGCGGGCCGTCTACCGACACCCTCGGGCCGATTGGCGCGGGTCTAACTGTTGGAGTTTCCGTTTCCGCGTGCGGTGGTCCTTGGCAAAGCGTGTCAAGACAAAGATGGGGCAAAAGCTGGCTGACAGTGAAACCTATTTCCCTGTTATGTGTGAATTCGATGTTGTCCCGCGACTAAAAATTTCTATGTTCTCTCTCCTTGCAGATTTGAAGGCCAAGGTGGAATCCTTCTGGGAGTTTGTTCGGCAGATGCAAGTCCTGAATTCCTACCCCACCAGTCTGATCATTAACGCCGATCAGACACCGCTCTTCCTGGAGATGCCGCAGGAACGCACATTGGAGATGAAGGGGGCGCGCACCGTGCACGTCCGTACCGCGGGTTACGAGAAGGAGCGCCTCACTGTTATGCTGACGGTGACGGCGAGCGGCTTGAAGTTGCCACCGTATGTGGTGTTCAAGCGCAAGACAATCCCGAAGGTCAAAGTTCCGCGAGGTGAGTCATTATTGCCGTTACGCATGTTACTCGTACCCTTGTACATGCGAATGATGTGCATCATGCGGTGTGCAGGCGTCGTTATCCGTGCGCAGTTACGGGGATGGATGGACGAGAACCTCGTCCAGGACTGGACTACCCAAGTCCTCGTCCCCTTCATGCGGCCCCTGCGGGACGAGGGCTGCAGCCGGAAGGATGTCCTCCTCATCCTGGACTCATATCGAGGACATCTCACCGAGGCCGTCGGCCAGACTATGCGTCTCTTCAGGCTGACACGCGCGGTGATCCCAGGCGGTTGCACACCGCTTAAGCAACTGTTTGATGTGTCAATCAACCGTGCCTTCAAGGCGGGAGTCCGACACCGCTACGGCACCTGGTTCGAGGAGGACGGGATCAGAAGCACAACTCCCGCAGGTGAGCCCTTGTATGAAACCATTCCCTCTTGTTGTCGATGTACCAACCATACACAACCATACACCCTCCAATCCCTTACCCTTGGCCCCAACCTGCAGGCAACCTGAAGAAACCGCCGGCCGAACTCGTCCTGAAGTGGATTGACGAGGCTTGGGCCGACGTTCCCGAGGAGATGGTGAGGAAAGCATTCCTCACCTGCGGCATCTCCAACGCAGAGGACGGGAGCCAGGATCATCTGATCTTGGCGCACATGCGGGATTCCGGCGAGGTGGAGGTGCTGGAAGACGTGATGGAGGAGGAGCAGGATGAACTGGTCCCCAACCCGTTCTACCCGGCCCCCGTGGTCACCCCTCCCGATGTGACCGTCGAGATGGAGGAGGAGGCCGTGCTGGCCGCTGAAGCAGAGGAGGCCGATGAGGAGGCAGTACATGCTAAGTCGGACTCGAGCGAGTCCGACGATGGAAACGCGAACGAAGCTGACGAGTGGAGCGACGAAGGGGATGAATGGTGGGCCCCTGGTCGCTATGAGGGGGCTGAGGTAGATGAGTGGGTGGCGGGTGACGAAGATGAGTAGCAAGGCGGGGGCGGATTCCAAGGTGGTGGGTGAAGAGTGGAGCTAGCTGGGTGTTGAGAGGCTGCCTTGGTTGTATTTTGTGACTCCTGTGGCCTACCATGTGCTACTGCTTGCTTAATTGACATGAATTAACATCTAAAAAACACTTTTGAGGTTGGGGGGGGTTCTTATAATGATTTCACCCCAAATGGGGGGTATAAGGAAAACAGTCTTGAATAATAAACCCCCCCCCCCCCCCCCCGTATTAAAGACCCGGGAACATTATTATGGGGGGGTCTTTTATCCGGGGGATTACGGTATATCTTACACAAATATGGTACGACCTGTGCTTAAAACAGCACAGTCACCAGCAGTGGCACCAGCAGCAGCAGTGATGCTAAGCAGAGGTTGATGGCAGGGCAGTTATTATTTCCCTCAGCTCTGGATGATCTTCAAAGAGCGTTTCCTCAAGTAGATGTGATTGTGCCATGCTCTTATGAGTAGCACTCATATTTATTATTAATTAAATTCTTTTCATATTTTCATATTACCCTAAAAGCTATTTCTTCTTACGTGCTTCATGTTTACAACAGTGCACGTAACCTAATCTGATACCATGCTGTTACGAGTGCAATGGAGTGAGCGAGCGAGGATTGCACTATCGAGACAAGATACAACGAGCGAAGGATTGAGCGAAGAATATATAGCGAAGCTATAGTGGTAACGGTAACATGTGGGAATTGGGGTGCGCGACGGGCCTGGTGCCGAGGTTGGGAATTGTCGAGGCGGAGGTCCGGAGCGCGGGTTACCAACCTAACTGTGAGGTTGGGTCGCATCGTGAACAGTGGCGGGAATGGTGTCGAGGCGAATGTTGCGAGTGGTAACGGATTACTGTGGGGTGCTGTTTGGCGGGAACAGTGGTGTACGCGCTGAGCAGGGACGCGAAGTAAGGAAAAGGAATTTTCCTTACACATGCCAACAAGAGAAGAGAATGACAGAATGAGGGCTTCTTTTATGAGGTGTATACTAAACCTGTACCCCATAAAGACTAACCCAACCTAGCCTTTATGAAGGGTAGTGAATGAAGTTGCATGAGTTCTTACCCAGCTAAAATTCAATTTCATGTCTCATTTGACGGACGAAGTGAGCATTCAAACAAGCAACACACCCTTCTACATTGCAAGAGTGGACATGGAGTGTAAAACTAATCAGCTAAATGATAAACCTAGTGTGCTAAGCACCTTGTGACAGGCTGTAGATTCAGGAATCGGGGGACCCTACACAGCCAAACCAGATCAGCAAGTTAACATGCGAACGTGACAGCCCCGGAAAACAGTGCACTATGGTGTAGATGGCTTGCACTATAGCAGCAGTCAAGAGCGGTGCAGTGCAGTGCGGTGCAGTGCAGTGCGGTGTGCAGCTCTAGGGCTGTTGCAGAAACTATGGATGGGTATGCCTGTGCGCGTCCAGTTAGGGAAAGGTTGAAGAACAGGAGGGAAGAGAGTACGAGGGAGGAGGGAGGAGCGGGAGGAGGAAAGGGAGGAGCGGGAAGAGTGGGAGGAGTGGGGAGGGTGGGAGGATGGGGAGAGCGGAGAGAAGAGGGAGAGGAGAGCGAGGGCAAGGGAAGGAGGTTGAAAGGAGGGGTGCGTGCCAGGCTGGCAGAATCATAGAAGCATGCTACATCTGGTGTCCGGGCGTCAGCACAGCAATGGAGAGTGGGAGAGGGGAGGGGAGTGGGAGGGAAGAGGTGTGGGAAGAAGTTGGAACAAATAATAAACAGAATGTGAGAGGATCTGCAGCAATGGCAGAAACACACGGTGAAGAGCAGGCAGCGGAAACGAATGATCAGAAATGGGTGCTAAAAACGAAAGGAAGAGGACAGGTGGTTGGGGGGGGGGGGGTGGAGGGGGAAGGGGTGGAAGGGGGAAGAGGCAGAAATGTGGGGGGAAGCTAGGATCAGGAGAGAAGCCAGAGAGCAGCAAGAAGGCAGCAAAACGGGAAGAGGCACAACGAGCAGGGTCGATAGACACGGCATACCTGGTAACCACCAGGAGGCATCATCTGGGGGAGGGGAAGCGGAGGGAGGGAGAAGCAAAGGAAGGAAAATCAGAGAGAGGAGAATCAAATAGAGCTCACTTGAAAGCGTTTCCCCTCTCACTCTCCAAACAAAGAAAGACAAAAAACCACAACCAACCAACCAACCAATCCATGAGAAAAAAGCGGACTCCTTTTGGCCATACTTCCCCACCAGCATGCTTCCTCTTTCCCCTTCCCATGCCTCTACTCACGCCCCTCACCACAATCCCCCCTTTGTTTCTCTCCACTAGCATGTACCCACGCAGCGGTCTCCCAACCCCTTTTGGCTCCTCCCCCCCTCATCCCTCCGCCTCTTCACCCGCTAACACCACAACATCCGTCCCCCTTTCCACCAGATAACCCACCGCCCTTGCCCAGCATCCCTCCCCGCATCCCGTCCTCTTTCTGTTAGATTTCTCCCCCTGCCATGAGGCATCATGAGCAACGCACCTGTGGCTGCATGTAGGGAACTGAACCCCCTGATGGGTATGCTGACGAGGATGGCATCTGGCATGCCCCGGGAGGGAAGGGATGATGGGGGTGGGTGGGAGTGCGGGGAGGAAAGAGCAGAGAGCGGACTTCTGAGGCGCATCAAAAGCCTGTGGCTGCATGTACGGAACTGAGCCCCCGGATGGGTATGCTGACGAGGATGGCATCTGGCATGCCACGGGAGGGAAGGGGGAGAGAGGATGGAGGAGGGGGGAGGGGGAAGGAGAGCGGAGAGTGGAGAGTGGAGAGAGGAGGGAGGAAGGAGTGGGGGAGGGAAGAGGGAGGGACGAGAAATGAAGGGAGGTACCACCACTGAGGATAACAACAGTGATTGCTAAAACCAGTCGCATAAAACACAAGCGTGTGCTCACACAGGGGTGTGCGCATCCAGCCGTTTTACCTACTTAGATGTGTGCATACACTTTAGTGTGCACGTGTGATGTTTGTGTGTGTATGCTGCGTGTGTGTCCGTGCATGTGCATGTGTGTATGTGTGTATGTGTGTATGTGTATGTGTATGTGTGAGTGAGGCACAATGCTGAAGAGTCCAGAACCAACATGAAAACTCCCCAGTGCTACCAAAACAACCAGTGCTGATTGGTTCGGTACCTGCCTGGGCATTGGGTTTGGATCCCGAGCAATGGTTGCCTCTCACTGTGCATTACTGCACCGGGGGCAGCAGTGCGGGAAGCCCAAACCCGCTTTACTGCGCTGGGATTTAATTTACCTGTGCGTTGGATTGGGGAAGCGAGGAGGCTAGCGACGCCTGCTGCGCTGACCCTCCTGGTGCCGGCTGGGGCTTGCCGTCCTTGGTTGCTCCCTCGCCCTGCTTGATCGCCGGCACCAACGCATCAGCACACCACACCACACCACACCACACCAGAGCAGACCAGGGCAGGGCAGGGCAGATGAACGCAGAGCAGAGCGTGCAGTCAGTGCATCACACCACAACATGAGCACACACACACGTGCACACACACACGTGCACACACACACGTGCACATGCACCCATATGCACATGGCAGACATTCATGAAGGCACAGTCACATTCACAATCAGGACGATAGCCATACACAAATCCGCACCGCCCTTCCATCCACACAGACCCACACCCTCCCCCCCCACCACCCCCCCACACACACAATCTCACACACAAACACGGACGGATAAGCAACGAGACAGAGAGTGAGCGACATTCTTGCTGGCACAGTCGACAAAAAGAGCAGCAACGGCAGAGCAGAGAGAGGAAGCAGAAGCAACAACTTGAAGAAACACAGGTGGCGAGAACAAAAAGATCGTACTGAGGAAAAAGAAAAAGACAAAACAGAATGAAGCAGAGCGGCAAGGTGCAAGGGCATGGATGGCAAAGGGAGGAAGAGGTGCGGAAAGAAGGGGGAATGGGAACTGGCGAGGGTGACAAGGTGAGTGAAACGGAATACAACAAGGGAAAAAAATTCTCAAGGAAAATGAGGGCGCGGGTTGGAGGGGGGAAAGCGGTGGCGTGGGGGGGATTTATTGAAGGTAGGGAAAGAGAGTGAAGGTGACACAGGCATAGTAGGAGGGAAGAATAGAGCGGAGGTATGGATGAGATGGGATGGAATGAGATGGGATGAGATGAGAGGAGATGAGAGGATATGCGCACCTCAGTCTGCACGGAGCAGGCAGGTCACAGCCAGCAGCAGACGATGCACGTTTGGACGAGGAAGCACGAGGTTCGAGACGGGAGAGATGGAGAGATGGCGAGAGAGGAAAAGCATGAAAGGGAAATTTGGAAGAGAGTGGACGAAAGGGAACGGAAAAGTGGGGAAAAGAGGAGGGGATGATTTGAAAAACACGACCATGAGACCAAACAGGAGTAAATGCGAGCGAGAATATGCTAGCCAGAACCCCATAAGAAACAGCTCAAAATACAGAAGCAAAAAAGGCCCTCTGGATATTGCATCATGCACTGCAACCAGCGATTCAGCAGGTGCTTGTTACGAGGGAGATGGGGAACGGGCGCCGAGGCCGGCGGGAGAATGCTGGGGGGGAGAGAGCAAAGACGCAAACCTCAAGGAACGAGGTCCAGACCTACCGTGCAAAAAAGAAAAAAAAAGAAAAAAAAAATCTATATCTATCTCGCCTCACTCCAAGTCCCAGCCTGATCAGGACTTGCTTCCCCTCCTCCCCCTCTGTTCCACCCGCTTGCCCTCCCCCTCTCGTTCCCCTCTCCCTCCCTTCGTCCCCCGTCCACCCCATCATACCACTGAAGCTGGTCCGCTCCCTCCCTCACTCCCGTTCTCTCACTTCCCCGTCTTCTTAACAATTCTGACGCCCTCCCATCCTGCCCCTCAATCTCCCACGTCAAGCGCACCTCGCGGTATCTGTGCAGGTACACTTTAAGCGGCTCCACATAGTCCTCGAATCCCAGCGTGCTCATCGCCCACAGCAAATCGTCGCCGTTGATCGTCTTGCGCTTCTCACGCTGGCACTTGTCGCTCGCCCTGGTCGGAAAGGTTAAGGGAAAGAGAGAAGATGTTCCAAACAAAGGACAGGGGGAAACAAGCGTTGCTGTTGCTGTTCGTTCGTTCGTTCGTTTATTTGTGTTTTTCGTCTATTTTGGAGCCCGAGAACGCGTTGCTATAACCTTGCCTTCTCCCCCGAGCGTTTGTCGCTCGACCCGGCCGAGGAGACATGACGTGCAAGACGGTAGACCGTGGGGCGGAAGTGGGGTGGAAAGGACGAAATCGACTGGGGGAACGGATGGGCTGTATTCTGCAGAAACACACATCGAGAAAAACTTAGTCGTTGGAAGCGAAATTGCAAAAAAAAGGACACGCACGTTAGAACCAGGAAAGCAGAAGTTAAAGAATCCAGAGAGCGAGGAGCGAAGGGCGGAGGTGGGGCGCGAGGGGGGAAGAAGAGAAGGGGGTGCGGGGAGGGGAGAGACGGGGAAAAAGGAGGGGGAAGAGGTGGGGAGAGGCGCGGGGAAGGAGGAGAGACGAGAAACCGAGGGACGTACTCGCTGGTGATAAAGCTGATGAACTCAGAGACGCACTCCTGAACCGTCTCCTTGGCGTCTTTCGCGATCTTAGCGTTCTGCGGCAGCGCCTTCTTCATAATCCGACTGATATTCGCGATAGGCAGAAACCGATCCTGCTCCCGAACCGACGACGACCCTCCCTCGCCGCCGCCGTGCCCCGACGTTCCTCCCTCGAGATCCTCGGGGTTGCTCTCCGGTGACCCTGGCTCGTCCGGCATGGCGACGCGGAGTTAAGCTCGCTGGTTGGTGTGGAAGACGCGCGTTGGGTTCACGCGCGCGCGCGGTAGTTAAGCGCGCGACGAGAACGCGAGAGGGGAGGGCGGTGGGTAGGGACGGCGTGGAGCTGAAACGACGCGGCACGCGCCGCGTGATAGGGAGGAAAACGAGTGCGCTCGGAGCAGGGTGACGACGAGAGATATCTGGAGAAGGAAATGGAACGTGACAAAGCAGGATAAACATATATATTTTATGGGGTTGTCAGAGAGGTCAGAAGCGTCTGGCGGTTTGCAGGTCCGTGTGGCTTAGAAAGGAGAAAACACTAATTATTGGAAGGGGCATAAGACTGGCTTCTCCTCCGATTAATATCGGAGATTTGAAGTGAAAGCGAAGAAAATCAAGGGCAGAGACTAGCACACAACGAATGGAACAGATGGCAGCAAGCCCAAAAGGGGAGCAGGAAACAAGAGTGGAGCCGCCATGCATAGTACGCTGTTTCAAGTGGGCATATCATAGTGGCCTAAGCTTACCGAATATTCCAGACCAATCCGGCGCGACCTTGTAAAAGCGTGTACTGAATATCAGTGGCTGAACTATAACTATGTGCTGACCCTAAGCGACAATTAGAGTCCTAGCAGTGGTGTGCGCAAAGAGTGTGCTACGTATTGTCCACTAAGAAACCCTAGGAGCTGTGTTGCTGAGCTGTTGGTGGAAGATTTGTTGTGAGGGCGGATCATGCGGTGGAAAGAGATGGGTTGCGTTCCCGAATGGCGCAATCAAACTTTAAATCGTTTACGCCAGATTCCGAACATATAACACATTCTGTTGCATATGAGAAAGTTCAGTGGTCAGTGGTCGATCATGTGCTACGGTAACCACTTGGCGTCCGTTTTCACGAAGCTTCTCAACCTGGCGCTTGCGAACAGTTTCGCTCAAATATTTGGACTCCGATCGATTGACCAATCGAGGGATGTTCTACGGCCCAGCAGCGCTTCAATCAGTAGTATGGAGTGGGCAGCGGGGGATGTGCGCCTGGGCCTTTAGGACGGGTACAGGTGCGAAGATCGCAAGATCGTGCTTTAAAATCGAATCGCACAATCGATTTAGCAGGTCAATTGGCGAAACGATATGCAGACGTCGTTGTTACGATCGCCACTAAGTTTGGGTTGACTTCCAGCGAACATCGATCAGTCGCATTTCCTTTATGTGCACTGATTATTGACAAAACCGTACTGTAGCATGATTACGTGCTAGTAATCCGGGTAACTGATCCGCACATTGATCGAAACAGACGATCAATCGTCTACTTTTACCGCTTCCTTAAGGTTTAAACAGAGCGGAAACAACGGCGTGGCATGAATGGGCAGTGGAGGAAACTTGGCGAGTCGAGAAATCTGACACCCGCAGATCTGGGGCAGCGGGAAGATTTTTTTCGACAGGAACCAACTGACAGTGCCAACGTTGGTGCTGCTTTCGAACATTCGAAATGTAACCTCAAACAAGCTGTCCTTATATAGTCCCGATACTTTTGTTAAAAATCAACTCAGCAAATGCCACACAAACTGTAAAATACAATAAAAATACATCTGAATCAGACATTGAACATGCATGCTCTGTATGTCTTGTTAAAATGCAGGGAAATATCAGCAGAAATTCCTCATCCAAGCGATCCTGAACCTGCTCAGTGAAGAAATGGCAATGACTATCATGATGAGGAGATTTCTGTGAATAGAATCTTTGAGTTGAACTTGGCTCCTTGTGTAGAAGAACACCCCCTCTCCCCCCCCCCCCCCCCCCCCCCCCCCCCCCCCCCCCTTCCTCCCAACCCCCTCTCCCCGGCCCTCCCCTCCTGGCACCCGCACATGCCACAAGACAAAGGCCACTTGGGAGCTCTTGCCCGGAAACTTCCACCACATGCTTCTTGGAGCTTCTCTCGGCCCGTGGGTTTCAAAGAGACCGAATTCTGAATATACATACATGGAGCTGCTTTGAGGCACGGGTTTCCACCAGAAGGAGACGGAGCAGCTGGGGCGGGTGGCCTTGACGTAGTGCATGTCAGTAGCATCCGGCACACACACGACACAGAGAGAGAGAATTTGCCAGCCGCACATGGAGCCACGCCACAGAGGCTATCTGGAGCTCCTCTCACCCGCGGGTTTCCACCAGAAGGAGACGGAGCAGCTGGGGCGGGTGGCCTTGACGTAGTGCCAGTAGCGCGGCGGGATGTAGAGCAAATCGCCGGGGGAGAGCAGCACATCCCAGAAGGGCGCCAGGGGGGCCAGGGGGAAGGCGGTGAGATCTGGAGAGTCTAGATCCACCTGATGGAGGGATGTGGGAAGGGGGGTGCATGAGAGGGAGCGGAGGGATGTAGTGCAGATCGCCGGGGGAGAGCAGCACATCCCAGAAGGGGTCTAGGGGGGCCAGGGGGAAGGCGGTGGGGTTCGGTGAGTCTAGATCCACCTGATGTGGAGATTGGGGCGGGTTGTTAGAAGGATGGGCGGATTGGGGGGTTGAGGTGATGGGGGGAATGGGGGGATGTGGGGATGAGGAATCAGGGAATGGGGATATTAACCTTTTGTTTTTATTTATATTTCTGTTTTTTTTTTTAGACTGGAATGACTTTAGAATCCTCTTCGTACCTGGCTGGAGTTACAGAGCATCTTCTCCTTGTGTGGGTACAGCCGCTCGTCCTCCCTGCTGCTATACACCCGCACGTACTTGCTGCCCACCACCTGGAGATGGGTTGGGATGGCGCGAGCAGCAACAGCACAGGCAGAAAGGAGAAAGAATACGACGCTGGTTCTGTGTAGTGAGGTGTCATCCAAGGAAGTGCAGCTGCTCTTTTGCGACGTCTCAAAATTCGTCCTCCCTGCTGCTGTACACACACATGTTCTTGCTACCCACCCACCACCAAGAGTTGGGGTGGGTGGGATGGCACCATGAGCAGCAGCACAGGCACAAGGAGAAAGAAAACAAAGTTAATTCTCTGCGTTGACCTCCACCGGAGAAATCTAGTTTTGAGGCGCCTCAAAACCAGTCCTCTGCGTTCACCTCCACCGGAGAAAGGAAACAAACTTGTCAAATGGAGAGTACAGCCGAGCGTCCTCTGCGCTGCTATACACACGCACGTACTTTCTGCTGCCCACCAAACGGCTGCCCACCACACGGCTGCCCACCACACGGCAGCCATGACACGTTGACTCTTGAGGCAGGCTCGCACACGTCTGGGAAGACTCATCTGAGCAAGGCACCTCAAAGGCATGATGACACAGATCAGGCAGTGCCATGGCTTCTCGAATCGAACAAAAAAAACAAAAGCCGGCTCACCTGAGCAAAGAGGTTATGGCAGGGATCGTGATGCAGCGGTGTCACTGTTCCTGCCGGCCCAAACCACGCATTCACCACCGGATCTCCCTCCTTCTCCCCCTCCTCCTCCCCTTCCTCCTCCCCCTCCTTCTCCTCCCCCGCCCTTTCCCCCCCTTCCTCCTTTCCTTGCTTTTCCTTCCCCACCTTCTCCCTTGCCTCTTCCCCCTTTTTCTCCTCCTCGCTACCACCACCTGAGCTATCACTTTCTCTGTCGCACGTATCACCCGAGGACCTACCACCCATGCTTGCAGTGCGAGCGACCTCTTGCGGAGAAGAGTGAGGGTGAGAGTTTGACCCGAGGAGGGAGTGAGGGTGGGAAGCAGGAGCGCTGAGCCAGCAGTAAGGGGGGATGTCAATGTCTGCACGAAGTATGGGGATCTGGAGAAAGGGTGAGAGGGGGAAGCCAAAGAAGGAGAAAAAAAGAGAACGGGATCGAGTGAACGGGCCACGGGAAAAGGAGCAACAAGAGCGCAGCAAAGATTGTTGGTGTTGTTGTTCAGAAGGGCATGAATCAGCATCAAACTCTTAATGTGCTACAATAAGCCAGACACGCAAAAATGAGCATCAATTTGGCATATAATCTAACATAGATGGGAGGGGAGCGCCAGATTGGCATTCGGAGCCCGCGAGTACATGTGGAACAGTGGTATCACGAGATAGGTGAGGTGAGGTGGGCGATGAGACTAGGCATTCCCCTTCCCCTATTCAACAAAAAAAAGTGCCGTAGCCTTGATGGCATCACCGAGGGCAGTCTTTATGCCGTCTTGAATTTTAATAAAAAGAAAAGAAAGAAAGAAAGAACGAAAGAAAGGAAGGAAGAACGAAAGAAAGAAAGAAAGAAAGAAAGGAGGGAAGAAAGAAAGAAAAAACCGTAGACATTGAGAGACCATCAAGAGACCATCGAGAGACCATTGAGAGACCATCGAGAGACCATCGAGAGGCCAGAATGGTTGGACCTTATCCTCAACTATGCAGCGCAGTAGTGGCAAACAGTTGAGTGAGTACCACTACAGACCCACCTGTTCAAACAGTTGAGTGAGTACAGACCCACCTGCTCAAACAGTGTGTGTTGCGCTAGGTACCCTATCCTCTCCTCCCCGTCCTCCTCCCCCACTTGATCCTGCAGTTGCGGCAATCCTTTCCCACTCCTGCTCGCCCCTCCTGCCTTCCCTTGATCGCCCCTGCTGCTGCCACGTGGCACCCTAGCTCTCAGCACGTGGCAGTCAATGAAGTCAGCGAGAGTCATGAGCTCCTGAGTCCACCCGTCCGCCAGGTAGCTGCTACCCATCTGAGTGACCGTGTGGGAGCGAGAGGGGTGAGGGGTGGGGGGAAAGGAGTTGTTTGGAGCTCCTTCGCGATTTCTATTGAGTAACAATCAGGTCAACAGAGTCAATGAAGTCAGCGAGAGCCATGAGCTCCTGAGTCCACCCGTCCGCCAGGTAGCTGCTGCCCATCTGAACGTGCACGCGCGGTAGGAGAAATGAGAAGAGGGAACGAGGAGAGATGGGAGATGGGGGATGGGGATGGGGGACGGGCACCTCAACAGGCAGGGAAAGTGCGGGGTCACCGTTCTCTTCACCGTTCTCTTCACCGTTTGTCCGCAGGCCAGTGGGCGATCACCCCTTGCAGCACCACCATCACCGGCGCACCCGCGCCCGCATGTAGCTCTGCGAATTGCACCTTCGCTCGCCCCAGTTCTTGCGCTCACCTCAACAGCCCCCGGCCGACCTCCAGCCACGCGCTTCAAATACCCCCAGTCGCCCCACCGCTTCAGCGCAGGCCAGTGTGGGCGACACAGCAATTCTAAAGAGAGCCAGTGGCCAGTGGCCAGTGGCATACCCTGCCCCCCCACCGCTTACCTCAACAGGCACAGTGCGGCCTCCGGCCACTCTCTTCAGATACCCCCAGTCGCCCCTCCGCTGGAGGGCAGGGCAGTGGGCGATCACTCCTGTCAGCACCACCGACCGACACATCTGGTCTCATGTACCCCTGTTCCCCCGCCCCTGTTCCCCCGCGCTCACCTCAACAGGCACGGTGCGGGTCCCAGCCACTCTCTTGAGATACCCCCAGTCGCCCCACCGCTTCAGCGCAGGCCAGTGGGCGATCACGCCTGTGAGCACCACCGGCACGCCCGCCCACATGTAGCTCTGCAGGAACAGCATGTACCCCGTCCCCTGCCCCTGTCTCTTTGCTCACCTCCACAGGCACGGTCCTGCCTCCAGCCACTCTCTTCAGATACCCCCAGTCACTCGACCATGTGACCGCATGCCAGTGGCTGATCACTCCTCCCTGCCCCTGCCCCCCTCTCGCTTGATTCCCTGTCCCCGGCCCTCACCTCAACGGGCACGGTGCGGCCTCCAGCCACTCTCTTCAGATACCCCCAGTCGCTCCACCGCTGGAGAGCAGGCCAGTGGGTGATCACCCCTGTCAGCACCACCGGCACGCCCGCCTGCATGTAGCTCTGCAGGAATCGCTCCAGAGAGGGCAGGTGCGCGCGGGGCATGGGGAGGGATGTGAAGGAGTGGGGGGGAAGGGGGATTGGCGGGTCTGCGGAGGTGGTGCGGGGAGTTAGGGGGTGGGCGGGTGGGGGAGAGAGATCATCGGCTGGTCTGTGAAGTGGGGATTTTTGTTTGTTAATGTGGTTTGTTGTGTGGGGTTGTTGCAATTTTTCTAGCTGCCGCTGCTGTTGCTGCTGCTGCTGCTGCTGCTCCTCCTCCTGCCGTTGCTCCTCCCCACTTTTCTCCTCCTCCCCATCCCCCCTCTCGCCTCCCCTTCCGCCCTCCCCATCTCTCCCATCTCCCCCATCCCCTCCAAACCATCCGTCGCTCCCGCCGCCCCCCACCCTGGCCTCCATCTCCCCCACAGTGGCATTGATAGCTGCACGGAACAAGTTCCCCCCCAGCATAAGCCCTAGGTCCAGAAGCCGCAGACAGGCAGGTAGAGAGCGGTTGGTGGTGGTGGCAACAGCGGCAGCGTTAGCAGTAGCAGGAAGAGAAGGAGTGGAAGGAGCGTTAGCACAAGTAGTAGTAGCCATGGCGAGGCATGTGAGGGCATACCCGTCGCGCCATGCCACGTGGACATCCTTCCAGGGGCCACCGTGGATGTGCTCCCATGCCAGCTCATGCACGGCCTCCAATAGCGTGTCCGCGTTGGACGCACCGCCAGCATCGCCATCCCCATCAGGACCAGCATGGGAATCACTAGAAGCAGCAGCAGCAGCAGCAGCAGCAGCAGCAGCAGCAGCAGCAGCAGCAGCAGCAGCAGCAGTATCAACCGCCCTCTTCTCCCTTCCCTCCCGCTCCTCCCTCTCTCCCCTCTCCTCTAGTCTCTCCCCATCGTGGTTCCTTCTCCCGTACTCCCCCACCTCTCCGCTCCCCCCTCCCGCCGCCTCTCTCTTCCGCCTCTTCCGCTCCCTCCCCTCTCCACGCTCCCCCCCATCCCTTTCTCCAGACCAATCCCCACCCATACCCTTCCCCCGCGTATCATCGTCCCCCTGGCTTCCCCCGACCTCTTTAGATGTTCTGCCAGCCTCGTCTATACCCTTTCGCCTTTCCCTCCCACTTCCCCCCGCCGCTCGCGCCCCGTTTCCATTCCGCTCATCTGCGCAGAGCCCCCACTTTGCGCGCAGAGCCTCCGCCAGCAGCGCGGCGCACGTGCGCCCCCCGCACGTGCGGAGAAGACGCAACAGCTCCCGCACGCTCTCCTCGTCTACCCGTTGCCTTAAATCCATAACTGCGGCAATGCACGTGTCAGATTACTCAAGAGGCTTATTGGCTGCAAAAAGCCGCTGGCGTGTTGATACAAGAGACAAAGCGTTGCAAGTTAGAAGTAAGGGATCAAGGCAGGACACACTAAGAGTCTATGATGACCGTAAAAGCGCACAATCCTGGGAAAGCTGTACGCAAAGAATGGAGCATAGATTGTGCTTCGATACTGGTATAAGGAGATAAAGAGCACGTTGTGTTTTCCCGCATCCCATATTAAAGCGCGCAACATATTAGCTTTGCCTACTAAATCAAGCCAGAAAAATGGTAAAGAATTTTGCGAAAGATGGTCGATAGATAAATACCAAGTGTGGGGAGATAACATTTTAATTGAATCTTGTAGTATGCAAAACTAAACTTCGTACCTTGTCCAACAATCTTAGTCTCATCTCAACCACTTCGTACCTTTTTTTTTTTTTTTTTTTTTTGTATTATTGAAAGTATACACCGCAAACACAGACAATAGCAGTCGTAACCGTGCGTGAGTGAGCAGAGACTGTCTGCTCCAGCTGAGATTCTAAGGTAGGTTATATACCGTTCGGGGATTGGTCCAGGTGGACTCAAAACCTCTGGTCCATGTCCACTTCCTATCATCTACCTGCCGAATCCTGCTCTGCAAGCGTTGTTCCTCCAAAAATCCACTATGGAAGCTGTCCTCTTGCATCATCCTTTTTTTCTGCCACGCTGTCGAGCGTGCCTTCATGTATACCCGTGCATGCTGGCAGAAAGCGAGCACAATCCGTCTCAGTACACAGCGCGCTCTGAATCTGCGTCCCCTGAAGACAGCTTCGCACCGCTCCAACCAGACCTGATGTAAAGTGATTGCGATAAGAGTTGCTTCCGGGAAAGCCGTATGTGACCCCGCCTTTCGGAAAAGGAGGTCCTCTAATGAGTCTGTGGCACGTGATGGGTTCAGCATGCGGAGACTTCTCTTAAGCGCAGTCACAGCACTGTCTGAATTCACGGGCAGGCAAAAAGACAATGCTCCAGCGTCTCCTCGTCATTGCAGTGTGGGCAGAGCGGCTTGTCACTTAGGAAAGCAAGTCGCTCCCCCACCTGGAGATTGAAGTTATAAACCCTCGTGAGGACATCTCTTGGCCTGCTGGGGGTGACCAGAGATTCCCTGATGCCCAGAATTTTCCTCCAGTTGATCGAACCATTCCACCGTCCAGCCCAGCGTAGCATCCGATGCGACTGCGCATACCTCCCTTTCCTGCGCTCCCGCATCTCCCTCAGCGGAATCACCCCCCCAGTCTTCAGTATCGGAATGCGCGGAAAGGCTTCTCCTCCCCCCACAACACAGCTTGCCGAGCTCGTGGAAGGGGTCAGCATGACCTCTCTCCATTTCTCTGGAGCTGCTACGAAAGCCTTCAGCGCTAGCCTAACAAGGCCCTTGTCAGAATCCCTACCACTAGACCATTGGGATAAAAGAGCTTGTTAAGTTGCGGGTCAGTGCGCCCATAACCCTCCAGGACAACGAGCCTGTAACCCTTCCCTAGGATCAATCGGGGATCACCAGTGGACCTCTGACACCCCCCGCACTGGGATGCCCAAAGTGGACACACTGGGATTCGAACCCGAAGTCAGCTACCAATGCAACGGCATCCGTAAGTCTCAGTCCTAGAATAAAGCCGTACTGCTCCGGCGATATCACCCGGTGAAGCACATTTTTTCAATCGATCTGCCACCACCTTGGCCAAAATCTTTTACGAGGGCCACCAAAACTTCCTCCCAGAAGGTCCCAGCTGGCCTCGAAAAATTCCTTCAGCAAACCGTCGTTCCCCGGCGACTTGTTTTTTGCCAGAGCTGCGAAGACTGCTCTCACCTCCCCCTCTGTCAAATATGCTTCTAACTCCCTTGTGTCACAGGCTCGCAGTCGTCTATCCGGATCCGGAACCCACTCACTGTAGTCGGACCGCCTGTCTCTTCCGAAAATTCCTTTGAAGTACTCCGAAGCGGCTGCAAGCACCTACTTCGAGCCTGACGCCGTTCCCCCTGCCACTTTGACTTCCGCGATGCGCGTTCGGCTTTTCTGCGCCTTAACCAGCGCGGATAACTGCTTCGTCGAGATCTCACCAGTGAGCTCCACATCGAGGCCCGCCATCAGATGAAGGCGATCTTGTCTCCATGCAAGATACTCCTTCAGCATGGCCTCCTTCCCTTCCAAGAGCTCCCTTCTCCAGTCACATTTCGGGTTTTGCATGGCCTCCTGCCTCAACGCTGCCACATCCGACACCAGTGTCAGAATGTTATAGTGCTTACATTTGTGTAGGCTATAGTGGGGTAGACCATAAGGAGTACAACCCAATTAGGTATTAGAGAGTAGCGAGAATGACGAGAATGGTGATTAGGAAAGAGGGGGGGGTACATGTAGAATGTCGAGAAGAATTGTGTACCCCCTAAAGCTAGCCCCCATACAGCCTAGATGCAACTAAGCCTAGATACAACTAAGCATATATGTTTTACACACCCCCATAGGCGAATTGGGGGATACTAAGAGCAAGCAATGGTCAGAAGACCAGTCAAGAAAGAAAAGCAAGCTCAGGGTGGATCACAAAGTCACCACACAGTCCGAGCACAAGCAAAGGGCCACAAGGCCAGTTCACATACAGAGTTATATAAAGAGAACAACCAATACAGTGATCATACCCTAGCAAATGCAAGCATGCAGGTATATATATAGATCACAGTACAGGCAGAGTCAGGCAGTAAGTAAATGAGGCAAAGTAGGCACAAGGCCTAACACAGTAGAGAACCGCTGATGATCACCAGGCGGAAGTGCCTTGGTGAATATATCAGTAGTGTTGGCCCTAGTGGCCACGTACGCAAGACGAAGCTGGCCATGCTGCTGCAACTCTCGAGCAAGGAAGTATCGCAGAGCAATGTGCTTCGTTCTGTGCAGCAGTCTATGCTCCTGACACAAGGCAATCATGGCCTTGTTGTCTACGTACAGAACTGGAGGCGAACGAGGCTGCTCTCCCAAGTCCGTCAGCAGCTAGGTGAGCCAGCGTAGCTCCTGTGCAGCCATGGCCCCGGCGTAGATCTCAGCCTCACAACATGATATGAGAACTGAGGACGAGCAGGTAGACCGCCAAGAAACAAAGCCGGAGCCAAGGCTGAAGGTGTAACCCTGTGACGACCGCTACGTAGCTGAGTCGTCAACCCAAGAGGCGTCTGCGTGACCAGTGAGGACAACTGGACCTCGTTCTCCAAGCACGATCCCATGCCTGACGTACTGCACAAGTAACGCAGTACCCTCTTCGCAGCATCGCAGTGCACCTTTCGGTGTCTACCGGGAGCCACGTAGCGAGCAAGGAGGCTGAGAGGGTACGCGAGGTCAGGTCGTGTGCACGTCATCAGGTACATGAGGCAACCCAAAAGCTCTGGGTACGGACCACTCGGCTCTACGGATCGTCCGAAGGTGGAACTGAGAGCGAGTGGCTAGTAGACATAGGAGTGGGCTGTGGCGAAGAAAACTGGAAGCCGAAGCGCTGAAGGACCTGGTGCACCATGTGTGACTGAGTCAGGGTGATGGTGTGCTGTGCTCTGTCCTGGGTGATTTGCAAGCCAAGATAGCTGCGCAGTTCACCCAGGTCAGTGCAGGTGTGTCTCTTCTGCAACTCCGACTTCACAAGGGTCAGTGCCTCAGTGTCAGCAGTGGCAAAGACAAGGTCGTCGACGTACACAAGGATGTAGAACGGCGACAGTGACGTGTCGGTGCTGAGAAACAGTGACGGGTCAGCAGTAGAAGGAGAAAACCCCAGGGCCGCAAGTGTAGTCCTCAGTGTGTCGTGCCACTTGCGAGGCGCCTGGAGGAGACTTTAGACTGGCCGCCGAAGGTTTCACTGGGTACCTGCAGGAAACGACCCAGTGAAGCCAGGTGGGCGGCGCAGCCAGATCTCCTCGTGTAGGTTGACCTGCAAGAAATCTATACTGAAGTCCAGAGAGTGTAACTCGTAGTCACGCTGAGCAGCAACGTGTAGCAACACCCGAAGAGTAGTCATCTTTGGGGTGGGGGAGAAGGTGTGGAAGTAGTCGACCCCGTGTCGCTGTCTGAAGCCTCTAGGAATGTAACGCGCCTTGAAGGCAGGCGGAGAACCCGGCGGCCGCTTCACCCTGAAAATCCACATGCCATCGACTATGTTCGCCCGAGACAGGGGAACTGCGTCAACGTAGGTGCCTGTGGACTTCCAGGATGCCATCTCGGCATCCATGGCTGCCTGCCACTGAGAGGAGTAGGGACCCGTAATCGCCTCTACGTAAGAGCGCGGGGTCGGGATGTCTGGTGCATCCGGGTCTCCCTCAGGGGCAAGCAGCATGGAAGCGAAACGAGGTTCAGCAGCTGCAAGACACTCAAAGTCCTCCTGCCTGTCCTCAAGGACGTCCGTGCCAAGAGCACACTCACCCGCAACAGACTGAGGACTGGCAGAATCAGACTCAGAAACAAGAGCAGTGGCGTAGTCTAGACGACAGGCAGCAGCTAAGTCAACTAGCTCAGCAACGAGGGCAGATGCAGCAGTGGACTCAAAAGAGGGGTCAGTCACAGCAGTGGCAAGAAGACGAGAGATAGTGGGACTGGCAGCACGAGCGCGGTCAGACTTGGGGTCAGGGACCTCAGGAAGAGAGGACTCAGGAGGAGCAGGATGAGGAACACGCAGTGGAATAGAGGAAGGACGAAGTGCCATAGCGTGTGTGCCTGGGACAGGAGGGGGACGCGGGCGAGGAAGGCGACGACCAGTGCAAAGAGGGCAGGCAGGACGAGACGCAGGCTCATGATGCTCTGTAAGACCGCCGGTCTGCTCAGTGTAAGGAGAAGGAGCAGGCAGTGGGGAGGCTGGCTGTAACAGCGGCTGCGACTGGTCAGGCCGTGGACACAATAAGGGAGGAGGACGGCCAGTAGAAGACGGGACACCAAGAAATTGCTGAAGCAGAGGAACGAAGTACGGTCCCGGCCGCACAGTGCCTC